ACTACCAACACTTGGTAACAAAAATGGTACTAGAGTGCAGACAGTCACTACCAACACTTGGTAACAACAGTGGTACTAGAGTGCAGATAGTCACTACCAACACATGGTAACAACAGTGGTGCTAGAGTGCAGATAATCACTAACAACACTTGGTAGCAACAGTAGTACTAGAGTGCAGATAGTCACTAACAACACTTGGTAACAACAGTGGTACTAGAGTGCAGACAGTCACTAACAACATTTGGTAACAACGGTATTACTAGAATGCAGATAGTCACTAGCAATACTTGGTAACAACAATGGTACTAGAGTGCAGATAGTCTTCTCAAGCAGCTTCGTTATTGCCCTCTAGTATTCTTGCACTCTGGCTTTTCCACGTACTCCCATTTATTAAATGAGTTGTGTATTTGACGGTGTATTAAACGAGTTGTGTACTTGGTGTATTAAACGAGTTGTGGACTTGACTTAAGAGTAACTCTGGTTAGATCACTGACAGTGATAAGGATATGTGTGAAATTTTTAATAAATACTTCCTCTCAGTGTTCACCCAGGAAAATACTAGCGATATTCCTGAAATAATAGATTATGTAGAGCAGGACGATAATAAACTATGCACGATTTGGGTAACTAGTGACATGGTCCTCAGACAAATAGAGAAACTAAAACCTAACAATCCCCAGGTCCTGATGAACTGTTTGCAAGGGTGTTAAAGGAATGTAAAAAGGAACTTATCAAACCTTTGGATAATCTTTTTAACATATCGCTACAAACTGGCGTATTGCCTGATAAGTGGAAAATGGCAAATGTAATACCTATTTACAAGGCAGGTGACAGGTCCTTGGCTTCGAACTATAGACCAATAAGCCTTACCTCCATAGTGGGAAAATTTATGGTATCAGTAATTGCCGAAGCAATTCGTAGCCATCTTGATAGGCACAGATTGATCAATGAATCTCAACACGGTTTTACCAAGGGGAGATCCTGTCTTACGAATTTACTAACTTTTTTCACTAAGGTGTTTGAGGAGGTAGATCATGATAATGAATATGATATTGTGTATATGGACTTCAGTAAGGCTTTCGATAGAGTTCCACATCAGAGGCTATTAAGGAAACTTAAGGCACACGGAATGGGAGAAGAAATGTTTTCCTGGGTAGAGGCATGGCTGACAAATAGGCAGCAAAGAGTTTTCATAAATGGGGAGAAATCAGAATGGGGGCACGTCACAAGCGGTGTTCCTCAGGGGTCAGTGTTGGGCCCGTTGTTGTTTACAATTTACATAAACGACATAGATGAGGGAATAAATAGCAATATAAGCAAATTTACTGATGACACCAAAATAGGCCGTCCAATTCATTCTAATGAGGACACTAGAGCACTCCAGGATGATTTGAATAGATTGATGCAATGGTCGGAGAAGTGGCAGATGCAGTTTAATATTGACAAATGCAAAGTTCTAAATGTTGGACAGGTAAATAACCATGCCACATATAAACTAAATAATGTAGATCTTAATACTACTGATTGCGAAAAGGATTTAGGAGTTCTGGTTAGCAGTAATTTAAAACCAAGACAAAAGTGCATTAGTGTTCACAATAAGGCTAACAGAATTATTGGCTTCATATCTAGAAGTATAAATAATAGAAGTCCTCAGGTTGTTCTTCAACTCTATATATCCTTGGTTAGGCCTCATTTAGACTATGCTGCTTAGTTTTGGTCACCGTATTACAGAATGGATATAAATGCTCTGGAAAACGTACAGAGGATGACAAAGATGATCCCATGTATCAGAAATCTTCCCTATGAGGATAGACTGAGGGCCCTGAATCTGCACTCTCTCGATAAGCGTAGAATTAGGGGAGATATGATCGAGGTGTATAAATAGAAAACAGGAATATATAAAGGGGATGTAAATAGCGTGCTGAAAATTTCCAGCCAAGACAGGACTCGCAGCAATGGTTTCAAGTTGGAAAAATTCAGATTCAGGAAGGATATAGGAAAGCACAGGTTTGATAATAGAGTCGTGGATGAGTGGAACAAACTCCCGAGTACAGTTATTCAGGCTAAAACGTTGTGTAGTTTTAAAAATAGGTTAGATAAATACATGAGTGGGTGTGTATTAAACGAGTTGTCTACTTGACGGTGTATTAAACGAGTTGTGTATTTGACGGTGTATTAAACGAGTTGTCTGCTTGACGGTGTATTAAACGAGTTGTATACTTGACGGTGTTTTAAACAAGTTGCAAGTGGGCCTAAAAACAAATTACTTTCTCTAAGTGAAACATGATAACCATGTATACTGTGTGACAACCATGTATACTGTGTGACAACCATGTATACTGTGTGACAACCATGTATACTGTGTGACAACCATGTATACTGTGACAGCCATGTATACTGTGTGACAACCATGTATACTGTGTGACAACCATGTATACTGTGACAGCCATGTATACTGTGTGACAACCATGTATACTGTGTGACAACCATGTATACTGTGTGACAACCATGTATACTGTGTGACAACCATGTATACTGTGTGACAACCATGTATACTGTGTGACAAACCATGTATACTGTGTGACAACCAATGTATACTGTGTGACAACCATGTATACTGTGTGATAACCAAGTATACTGCGTGCCAACAATGTATATTGTGACAACCATGTATACTGTGTGACAACCATGCATACTGTGTGATAACCAAGTATACTGCGTGCCAACAATGTATACTGTGACAACCATGTATACAGTGTGACAACCATGTATACTGTGTGATAACAAGTATATGAGTTTCCAACCATGTATACTGTGTGACAACCATGTATACAGTGTGACAACCATGTATACTGTGTGATAACCATGTATACTGTGCGACAACCATGTATACTGTGTTACAACAATGTATACTGTGACAACCATGTATACTGTATGACAACCATGTATACTGTATGACAACCATGTATGCTGTGTGGCAGCAATGTATACTGTGTGACAACCATGTATACTGTGTGACAACCATGTATACTGTATGACAACCATGTATACTGTATGACAACCATGTAAACTGTATGACAACCATGTATACTGTATGACAACCATGTATACTGTGTGACAACCATGCATACTGTGTGATAACCATGTATACTGAGTGATAACCATGTATGCTGTGTGACAGCCATGTATACTGCGTTATAACCATGTATACTGTATGACAACAATGTATACTGTGTGACAATCAGGTATACTGTATGACAACCATATATACTGTATGACAACCATGTACACTTTATGACAACCATGTATACTATGTGACACTCATGTATACTGTGTGATAACCAAGTATACTGCGTGCCAACCATGTATACTGTGTGACAACCATGTATACAGTGTGACAACCATGTATACTGTGTGACAGCCATGCATACTGTGTGACAGCCATGTATACAGTGTGACAACCATGTATACTGTGTGACAGCCATGTATACTGTGTGACAACCATGTATACTGTGTGACAGCTATGTATACTGTGTGACAGCCATGCATAGTGGGTGACAGCCATGTATACTGTGTGATAACCAAGTATACTGCGTGCCAACAATGTATACTGTGACAACCATGTATACTGTGTGACAACCATGCATACTGTGTGATAACCAAGTATACTGCGTGCCAACAATGTATACTGTGACAACCATGTATACAGTGTGACAACCATGTATACTGTGTGATAACCAAGTATACTGAGTGCCAACCATGTATACTGTGTGACAACCATGTATACAGTGTGACAACCATGTATACTGTGTGATAACCATGTATACTGTGCGACAACCATGTATACTGTGTTACAACAATGTATACTGTGACAACCATGTATACTGTATGACAACCATGTATACTGTATGACAACCATGTATGCTGTGTGGCAGCAATGTATACTGTGTGACAACCATGTATACTGTGTGACAACCATGTATACTGTATGACAACCATGTATACTGTATGACAACCATGTAAACTGTATGACAACCATGTATACTGTATGACAACCATGTATACTGTGTGACAACCATGCATACTGTGTGATAACCATGTATACTGAGTGATAACCATGTATGCTGTGTGACAGCCATGTATACTGCGTTATAACCATGTATACTGTATGACAACAATGTATACTGTGTGACAATCAGGTATACTGTATGACAACCATATATACTGTATGACAACCATGTACACTTTATGACAACCATGTATACTATGTGACACTCATGTATACTGTATGATAACCATGTATTCTGTGTGACAACCATGTTTACTGTATGACAACCATGTATACTGTATGACAACCATGTATACTGTATGACAACCATATATACTGTATGATAACTAATGATAACTATGTATACTGTATGACAACCATGTATACTGTATGACAACCATGTTTACTGTATGACAACCATGTGTACTGTATGACAACCATGTATACTGTATGACAACCATGTTTACTGTATGACAACCATGTGTACTGTATGACAACCATGTATACTGTATGACAACCATGTATACTGTAAGACAACCATGTGTACTGTATGACAACCATGTGTACTGTATGACAACCATGTTTACTGTATGACAACCATGTGTACTGTATGACAACCATGTATTTCTGTATGACAACCTGTATACTGTATGACAACCATGTGTACTGTATGACAACCATGTGTACTGTATGACAACCATGTATACTGTATGACAACCATGTTTACTGTATGACAACCATGTGTATTGTATGATAACCATGTGTACTGTATGACAACAATGTATAGTGTATGATAACCATGTATACTGTAAGACAACCATGTTTACTGTATGACAACCATGTGTACTGTATGACAACCATGTATACTGTATGATAACCATGTATACTGTATGACTACTTATGTTCATTACACAAATTAATTTGTGTATCTTGGCGTGGATGTTTGAGTCAGGTGTGCACCATGAGCTTCCGACTGGTATCAGCCTCGGCCACACACATGACTCTCATTCCTCAACAACCTAACTACACCGGCCTCATCAACTTGGTGGAATACTCAATAGGTGAGTGATTCCAACACTTAGCCAGCTTAAATGAGGTGTTTTGATGCTACTGAGGGGCTCTTGAGCATAGGAAGTGGAGCTGCTCTTCAGTTTCTCAGATCAAACCTGTTTACCCTCCATCTTGATGTTGTCTGTCACTTTGTGGTATAGCTATTTTCCCTTGAATAACTAGTAATTAGATGTAGTTTGTAACAGGAATGGTACAGAGTGAGCCATAACTTTGTGAGGGCTTAAACATTAACATTAAAAAGAATGAATCAAATCAGGAAATATTTTCATCATAATTTACCATATGGAAACTAATATCCCATTATCTCCAGTACAATGACAAATTAGAGAATATACAACCTAAATCTAACTGACACCTTCCATTAAGAAACACCAGTTTTGAAACTAAATGGCCCTTGTATTACACTGATAAGGACACTGGTTGGCAAAAAAATAAACCAAGAGCCAGGTGACAGTCGAAGGAATAATGGTGGAGAAACGCTCGGCTTCCAGATGTTCCATGTATAAGTTCGCCAGGACGGCACTGAGTGGCGAGCCCATGGGTAGACCAAAAGTCTGTTGAAAGAGGTGATTTTCGAAAGAGAAACACGTAAAGCCGACACATAGTTCAACGAGGTCGATGAAATTGCTGGCTGGAATGGGAAGATCAAGTGAATCGTCAATTTTCCTGCGCAAGAGATCGATGGCTTGTGTAGTAGGTACTTTGGTGAATAGGGAAGTTACGTCAAGGCTGGAAAGTTTCTTGTTCCTGATGTTGATGTTGCGAATGCGATTGAGAAGATCACCCGAGTGTTTGAGATTTTGCTGGACTGATAGTCCCCAAAGAGTTTGGAAGAGGTTTTTTGCGAGAATTCCTGAGAGTTGGTGGGGAGCACTGCCTATTCCCGAAGATATGGGCCTCAATGGGATACCAGACTTGTGAGTTTTTGGTAGGCCGTACATTCTGGCAGGTCTGGGGTTGCTGGGTATGGTGTTCAGAAGTTTCTTCCCTTGTTCTGAGTTCCTCAGAATGCGGCGAGACCTTTGAAGAAAAGTTTTAGTAAGGTTGTCCACTTGGTTAGTTGTGAGGGGTTTGTAGGTATCTGGGTCATTAAGTAGATTGAGCATTTTGTTCCTGTAGTCATCAGTGTTCATGATAACAACACCACCTCCTTTATCAGCGGGTGATCTTCTCAATCGCATTCGCAACATCAACATCAGGAACAAGAAACTTTCCAGCCTTGACGTAACTTCCCTATTCACCAAAGTACCTACTACACAAGCCATCGATCTCCTGTGCAGAAAAATTGACGATTCACTTGATCTTCCTATTCCAGCCAGCGATTTCATCGACCTCGTTGAACTATGTGTCGGCTTTACGTGTTTCTCTTTCGAAAATCACCTCTTTCAACAGACTTTTGGTCTACCCATGGGCTCGCCACTCAGTGCCGTCCTGGCGAACTTATACATGGAACATTTGGAAGCCGAGCGTTTCTCCACCATTATTCCTTCGACTGTCACCTGGCTCCGTTATGTTGACGACATTCTCCTCATAACTCCGAGGCGCTTCAACGTTCAAGCTCTCCAAGACAAGCTCAACCAGGTCGAGCCCTCAATCCAGTTCACACTTGAAAAAGAAGTCGACAACACTCTTTCTTTCCTTGATGTTCTTCTCTGCAAAACTGACCATGAACTTCGTTTTAAAGTCAATCGAAAACCAACCAACCAAAACGATCTTCTCCACTCCTACTCTCACCACGACACCAAAATTAAACGTGGTGTAATTATAGGCTAATTCCTGCGCGCACTCAGAATCTGCAGCAATGAGTTCCTTGAGGAAGAATGCACTATAATTGAACAAGTATTTTCTAAACCCCACTATCCTCATCACTTCATCAGAGACTGCAGACGACGGGCATTAAACATCTTCAACACACCCAGAGAAGACACTGCCGAGAAGAGATACATAGCCCTCCCCACCAACTCCATTGCCAAACATGTTTCCAACATCTTTTCCAATACATCATTCCAAGAAATACTACCTCCACAACCACGACCATCATGAAAATCACCATAGTAGACAGGACAAGCTTCCATCCTCTGCAGTGGTAAAACATAATCCCTTGTAATGACTGCAAAAATTATACGTGGGCGAAAAAATAAAGGGAGACCTCCAAACACGTATTTCAGAACACCAATACGCAAACAGGACTGACGATACAAGGAATGCCTGTGTACAACATCGCAATTCACACAACCATTTAATTAACTACAGAAACTCAAGACTTATCGCCACAGAAGACAACACTCAATACCGAAGAATCCTGGAATCATCGCTTATCTCTATAACCAACAATTTCAACCAGAACAACGGCTTCTATAACATAACTGAACCAATTGCCAAGAAACTTCTTCATCGCTATCCCACATAAGAACATAGAACACTGCAGAAGGTCTATTCACAACTTGTCCAGTACCACTGCCAAGCTACCCAAGACTATAACTCCACCCGGTAGATCATCAGATGCAGCATTCTCCACCTGATCTCAACATTCTGAACATGACTATAAATACTCCCGTACCTTCCACCCCAGGTACATCTGTGTGTGACTTGAAAAAGCCCACTGTGTGGACGAAACGTTGTCAATAAAGGATCACATTAAACTGCATATGTGTTTATGTTTCCAGTGTGTCGGTATTTTATACCATTTATTTTCATCAGACACACATATGTTATCGACACAAAAATTACTTAATGTAAACAGCTACGATAACGAGACAAAGTCAGTCACTGATTTATTTTTGATCAGAAGAGATATTCTTTAGTTAGCGGAAACCAATATGCTTAATGAAACTGTCACAATAAAACTTGTAGAACCAGGCCCGTGGCCTGGTAGGCAAAACTCTCACTTCACACGCTGAGTGTCCGTGGTTCGATCCCCGGCAAGGATGAAAACATTGGGCGTGTTTCCTTACACCTGTTGTCCCGTTCGTCTAGCCGGCAAGTAGGTACCTGGGTGTTAGTCGACTGGTATGGGTAGCATCCTGGGGGACAAGATTGAGGATCACAATGGAAATAAGTTAGACAGTCCTCGATGACGCACTGACTTTCTTGGGTTATCCTGGGTGGCTAACCCTCAAGGGTTAAAAATCCGAACAAAAGCATATCTTATCTTAACCTAAAATCAAGATGTTTCCTTTGAGGGAAAACACAACAGCACTAAAACTTTGAAGGCGACCAGATGAAGCATTCTAGAGGTATTGAAAAGAATTAAGAAAAATAGCACCAGTCGAAACTCCCCAAAAGCTTCTTACATATGGTGTCTTTTACGTAACGTCTTGTACATGGCGCCTTGTACGTGGTGCCTTGTACGTGGTGTCTTGTACGCGGTGTCTTGTACGTGGTGTCTTGTACGTGGTGTCTTACACCTGGTGTTTTGCGTGTGTTATATTACACAAGCCCTGATCTGAACGCAGTGTGCAGATCTCTGGGAGACCTGAGTGTCTTAGATGAAGTTGGTTACAGATCACTGGGTCACCAACTGGACAGACCCGGGCCGGGACACATACCGGTGAACATCAGTCAGGTTACAGTCAGGCCACGTGGCTGTTAATATTCCCTTGAGACATAAGGAGTATCAGTCATTAAATGTTTTATTTTAATCAATTATTTTATGCCAAATAATTCTATATCATTTCGAGATTTGAAAATGACACCTTCCTACGTCATTATCAATACCAATTTTCTAGGTAGGTTAAATTTTAAAGCCGATCACAATATACTTTCTATAGTTATCGCGTTTAAAATAATTTCGGGAATGAACCTTCTCTTGATAATAGTTCACATGAGTTGAAAAATTTGAAGCCGATCGGATAAGGCATTCAGATGTTATACCCATGAACACCTACTGCAGGCGAGGTATCCATAACGTCGACGAAGGATGAGCAGTTCTCCAGTGTGGCGGTCCAGGTGAGATTTGCTCGTCGCTACGGCTTCTACCTGCTCACTCTCTACATCCCCACCGTTCTTCTTATCTTCATCGCCTACGCTACTTTCTTCTTCAACCCTGATGACTTCAACTCTCGCATCACTGTGTGTCTCACGGCTCTCCTCGTGCTGGCATCACTCTACACACAGGTGAGTACTTCTTGTTCTGGCAACACTGTACACACAGGTGATTATTATTATTATAATCGAAAAGAATCGCTAAGCCACAAGGACTATACAGCGTACACACAGGTGAATACTTCTTGTTCTGGCAACACTGTACATACAACTGAGTAGTTCTTGTTCTGGCAACACTGTACATACAACTGAGTAGTTCTTGTTCTAGCAAAACTGTACATACAGGTGACTGGTTCTTATTCTGGCAATACTGTATACACTGGTACGTAGTTCTGACGTCACATGGAAATATTGTGTACACTGGTACGTAGTTCTGGAGTCACATGGAAATACTGTGTACGCTGGTACGTAGTTCTGGCGTCACATGGAAATATTGTGTACACTGGTACGTAGTTCTGGAGTCACATGGAAATACTGTGTACGCTGGTACGTAGTTCTGGCGTCACATGGAAATACTGTGTACGCTGGTACGTAGTTCTGGCGTCACATGGAAATACTGTGTTACGTGGTACGTAGTTCTGGCGTCACATGGAAATACTGTACACATTGTTCTTCGCTTATCAAACAACCTGTGTTTGCCTGCGCTTTCGAAAACACTGACTGCTTTGTACGGTCTTATCATGTCTACTGTTATAGCTGTAGGGTAATAATGAAAGGCAGAGTAACAATAACAAAAGTGTACTTTCCCTGGCACGGCTGACAACGAACAACCACAACAACACATCTATAGTAGATGAATGGTTCACAGAACCGACAGCTATAAATGAATGAACATCACAAATATACGAACATAACACTGTATTTTATTCTCTCACTGTTCCCAATACCTTACATTCCTCCTTTTCTAAATTACCTTATATCATCACAACAGGTGGAATCGTTACAAGTACACGTCAGTGGTGACGTGTACTTAGCTCTCAGTGGTGACGTGTACTTAGCTCTCAGTGGTGACGTGTACTTAGCTCTGTGAAGACCTGTTTGTGTGCTCTCTGTGAATCTGAACCAGGATGCCCTCTCTTGAGCAGCTTTACCAGCAGCTGAGAGAAGAACTCAGAGTTGCTAAACTGGAGATACGGCGATTAACGGAGGAGAACAAGAGGATTCGTAGTAATCCTCCTGTTGTGAGTCCCCAGGTTAAGAGGGGAGCTTGGTCAGTGGCCGGGCAACATGGAACCAAGCTGAAGATTAAGAAAACGGTTGGAGAGGCAGAAACAACGAGAAACCAGAAGACTTCCGTGGAAAATTCCAACTCATTCTCGGTGCTACCTGACAATGTGAGTGTTCTAAATGGGGAAAGCCACAACGAGCACCCAAAGGGAAACATTGGAGACGTGAGTGGACATCCCTAGAAAACCCCAACGAAGACCATCGAGAACGTCATGAAAGAATTTTTACAAGTGGGGTAAGCTACCTGGCGAATGTGAGTCGACTACTCGGAGCATCACTACGGACGACGCCATGGAAGGGAAAAAACATTGTTGTTGTTGGGGATAGCCAGATTAGGTACATGGATAGGGCTTTCTGTTTGAAGGATAGGATAGGAGGCAGAGAGTGTGTTTTTCCTGGGGGTGGGGTGAAGGATATTGTTAGCCGTCTGGATGACATATGAGAGGTAATGGGAGCAATCCTATTATCTGTTCAGTGCTGGAGGCAACGATGTTGGCAGACGTAGGAGTGAGGACCTGATTAGCAGGTATAGGTCAGCATATAGAGATAATTAGGAAGAAGGGTGGGGAAACCTGTCATATGTGGCATTTTGCCAGGAGAGGAGTTGGAAATGAATGGTTGTCCAGAGCAATTGGTGTCAATTGCTGGCTGGACAAATACTGTAAGGAAAATGCGGTAACATTCATTGACAACTGGGACCTCTTCTATGGCAGAAATGACATGTATGCCAGGATGGGGTTCACTTGTCTAGGTGTGGGGGGGGAGCACTGGCCAACGCAGTGGAGGGAGCTGTTAGGTCTTTAAACTAGGAATAGTTAGTGGTTGGGGTTTTTGCGGAAAAACTGTGAAGTCTCAGGGTAGTAATATGAGTACTAGGAGAAAAAAGTAATGGGGAACATGAGGTGGATATCGGAAGGCCGTGGCACTAATTGACAAGGACAGTAATAGGTTTAGTGGAATAACAGAAAGGAGCAGGAATGATAAAGAGAAAGGAGGGTCCTTAAGTATATATTACACAAAAAGTCGCAGTGGCTAGGGAAAAAGATGGACGAGTTGAGACTAGTTGCTAGTGCAGGTAACATAGATGTTTTTTGCCATTACTGAGACGTGGTTTAACTCAAAAAGTCGGGACATGCCTGCAGAAAAGTCACATTCAGGGTTTCAAAAAGTTCCAAGTAGATAGAAGTATCGGGAAGGGGGGTGGGGTGGCATTGTATGTCCGAGATCGCTTGAACTGTTGCATTAAAACGGGTATTAAGTCTGAAGTAACACATACAGAGTCTGTTTGGATAGAATTTTCAGAGGGGCATGAAAAATTAACTTTAGGTGTGATATTTCCGTCCCCCCAAATTTAGATAGGGACCAGGGAAATACTTTTGGGAGGAAATTGTTAGGGCCCCAAGGCACGATAATGTAAGTAATTCTAGGAGACTTTAACTTTAGTCATTATTGATTGGGAATTTCTTGACTGGGAATTAGAATCATTTCGACTTCTTAGAGGTAGTTCAGGATTGTTTTTCTGAAGCAGTTTGTGACAGAACCTACAAGGGGTAATTAAACCCGCTTGAACTTAGTTCTGGCAAACAATGAATCCCTTGTTAATAATTAGAAGTTTCAGAAGAACTGGGGGTGCTAGCGACCACAAATCAATTACATTTTAAAAATTGAATGGAAGTATTTATAGTAGGGATAACTCAGTAACAGTCCCAGATTTTCGCTTAAGCAGATTACGAGGGCTTAGAGAACACTTATCATTGTTGACTGGGGTAACGAAGAGAGCTATCAATATGACAGTTTTTCTGAACACCCTACATGCTGCTCAAAGAACATTTATCCCTTATAAAGAAATTAGATCAAATAGAAATGACCCAAAATGGATGAATAATAGGCCTGGGAAAAATCTACAGGGCATAAGAAAGGAATTTATAGGCGTATCAAAAGAGGCGAGGGTCATCTTATGAATCAGTATATTGACATTAAGAGGGACATTAAAAAGGGGGGTAAGAAAAGCTAAAAGGGACTATGAAATTAAAGTTGCTAGGGATTCTAAAAAATAACCCAAAAAGTTTTTTCCAGGTTATAGAACAAAAGTCAGAGATAAGATAGGTCCCCTTAAAAATAACTAAAGGGCATCTTACTGACAAAGAGAATGAAATGTGCTCGATTTTAAATTAAATTTTTTTTCTCTCGGTTTTTTTCACAGGAAGACAAATAATAAAATTCCGGTAATTAATTTTATAGTGGGCCAGAAGAAAATAAATTATGTAACATCATAGTCCCCTAGTGAAATGGGTTTGAAGCAGATAGACCGACTGAAGCAAAATAAGTCACCGGGTCCTGATGAGGTTTTTTCAAGGGTTCTAAAGAATGCAAAATGGAAGTCTGTGAACCATTAACTAATATTTTTAATTTATCTTTCAAAAAGGTGTGTGTCTGATATGTGGAAGATGGCTAATGTAATTCCTATTTTAAAACAGGGGACAAGTCGTTACCGTCAAATTACCGCCCCAAAAAGCCTGACCTCAATTGTAGGCAAATTACTAGAGTCAATTATAGCTGAAAATTATAAGAAGCCATCTCGATAAGCATAGCTTGATTAATGATACTCACATGGATTCACAAGAGGCCGGTCTTGTCTAACTAATTTATTACTTTCTTCAGTAAAGCTTTTGAGGCTGTTGACCACGATAAAGAATTTGATATTATTTACTTAGATTTTAGTAAGGCATTTGATAGAGTTCCGCACCAAAGACTGTTGAAGAAAGTAGCAGCTCATGGCTTTGGGGGGAAGGGTGCTCTCGGGGATCGAATCATGGCTGACAGACAGGAAGCAGAGAGTGTCCATAAAGGGGGTTAAATCTGAGTGGGGAATCGGTAACAAGTGGCGTTCCACAGGGATCAGTTTTGGGGCCCGTTGTTGTTTATAATAATATCAAGATCTTGATGAAGGAATTACTAGTGATAGAGCAAATTCGCCGATGACACGAAGATAGGTAGGAAAATTGATTCAAACGTAGATGTTAGGGAACTTCAGGAGGATTTAGACAAACTCTACTCTTGGTCAGAAAAGTGGCAGATGCAGTTCAATGTAGATAAATGCAAGGTTCTGAAGCTCGGGAGTGTCCATAACCCTAGCACATATAAGTTTAAATAATGTAGAACTTAACCAACAGATTGCGAAAAGGACTTGGGGGTTATGGTAAGCAGCAACCTTAAACCAAGACAGCAGTGCCTAGGCGTACGTAATAAGGCAAATAGATTACTGGGGTTTATATCAAGAAGTGTAAGCAACAGAGTCCAGAGGTCATACGCAGCTTTATACAATCATTAGTAAGGCCTCACCTGGATTATGCAGCTCAATTCTGGTCTCCATATTACAGAATGGACATAGATTCGTTAGAAAACATTCAGCGTAGGATGACTAAATTAAACATAGCATTAGAAATCTCCTTAGAAGAAAGATTGAAGACCTCTTAAAGTTACATTTACTTGTTAGACGAAGAATGAGGGGAGACCTGATCGAAGTGTATAAGTGGAAGATAGGGATTAATAGGGGGGATATTAACAAGGTCTTGAGGATATCTCTCCAAGAGAGAACCCGCAGTAATGGATTTAAAAAAAAAATAAGTTTAGATTTTGAAAGGACATAGGAAAGTATTGGTTTGGAAATAGGTAAATGCGCATGATGGAAACAGTTCCTAGTTGGGTTTTGAGGCTAGGATTTGGGTATATTCAAATTTAGGTGATAAACATGAGAAAAGTTGGATTTGAGTGGGACTGACATCAGAGCTTATTTTAGCATTGAAAATTGGATGGTGAAATGTATTGTTAGTGGATAAATTTAA